ATATTTTTAATATAGGAATTTAACATTATTTTATTATAACATATATATATGATTCTGAATTATATATTTTTAATTAAAACTTATACTGAATTAAATATATTTAATGTTAATATATGCATATAATTTTGAATTATAATTTTTAACAGGAATTTAACGCTATTTTATTAAAATATATGCAATTAAATATTTAAAATTGATATCTCTTAAAAAGCTAAAAATATATATGGGGCCTTTGCAATAGAAAGGGAGGAAACTGCCGGGAAAAAACAATTTTACTTTTATATGCCAAATATGATTTTTAGGCTGAAATATGTTCAAATTTAGCATTAACTCATTTTTTATTTTTCCGGTAGTTTCCCCCCTTTCTATTGCAAAGACCCCATATGAATCAATAAAAGATATAAAGTATGTACTTATTGCTCATATTAAATAGTGCAATATATACATCATTAATTTTAAATCTATGATGAGAAATTGTAACACTATATTTCATACGATCTTATAATCTTATGTAAAATTTTATCATAATATTTCATAAATCTTACAATACTATAACTTTATGAAGGATTTTAACTGTAATATTATATAAAAAATATAATTTATAATCCTATATAAGATTTCACTGTAATGTTTCATAAATCTTATGAACTCATAAACTCATGTAGTTTTACAATGTAATACTTTAAAATATTATGAAAATAGTAAATCTATGGAATATTATGTCATATTTAAATTCCAGATGAATAATAAAATAAAAAATAAAAAAAAAAATTTGAATTTGTAATATAAGTTTTTTTTAAATAAAATTAAGTAATTGTTTAATTATAAAGATTGTAACTTATTATTTATAAAATAAAATATAACTTCTTTAAATAAATATATAACTTTACTTTAAATGAGACTAAATATAAGTCTAATAGTCCAATAAAATTTAATATTGGATTAGATAAGGTTTAATAGTTTAATAGTTTAAAAGATCATCACTACATATGTTATAGTAATAAATTGTGAAATACAGTATATAATTATCATGCTTATCATATAAGAAAAGTAATAGATATTGATAACTTATATATATTATACTTCATATGTTTTTAGCCAATTTATTATAATATTTTTTTAGTTTAACTAATAAAAAATCAAAAAAATTTAATATTATTACCTATTAATATAGTATATTATTTAACAAATATTGTTATAGTTGAAAATTCTTTAAGTTTGCAAGGTTTTGGAAAAATTATATAATTAGTTTTTACAAATTTGATGATTATATAGATGTGGTATTATATATAAGTTTATTTTTTAAAGTATTATAATTTTGGCTAGAATTATAAATTATATTATATATAATCATGTGATATATAGATTATTTCCTTTTTAGCAATAGTTGTTTCACAAAATAAATATTTTTTTAAAATTTATAAATTCTTTTTTAAATATAATATAATATGCAATGTTAAATTCTAAAAATGGAAATTTGTATGATGATTATAAGTTATGTGATTTGTAATTTTGGTTAAAATTATGACTTGACCAAAATTATAGTGATTATAAAGAGGCCTAAGTATTAATAAAAATAATATGTAGGTTTAGGAAAAATAGGTGATAGTGATTATAATCATATTGTGACTATATAGAGGTAATTTTTTTAATTAAAGGTTTTGGCGCAAGAAAATTATGATTATACTGAGGTTGCACTTATATGAAGGGTAACTACCAGGGGAGGACAAAAGTATTGCATGGTTTTGATTTAGATATTTTAGTTAATTTATCATATGTAACTGAGCCATATTTTGTAATAACATATTAGCTGGTTTATGCTTAATAAAATATTTAAATAATTGTTAAAATTAAAGCATTGCAAGGTGTAAATTGAAAATTTAAAAACACATTACTTTTCAATTTATCGCATGTACTAAGCTTCGATATCGGATTCAATATTTGGTTTTTAGATGTTTCTCTTCAAAAGAAACCAAATAACTATTGTATAATGATATCCTATAACATTTATGATTTCAGAGTTACTGAACCAAATTTTTTGCTATAATAATGCTCCTTTTTTCTAAAAGATAAGTCCTTTAATTATACTATCACTTGCGCCAAATCGAACTTTGGGAGTATTTTCAAATTCGATTTTACGAATTGCAACATATTAATTCAAACTATAATAAAAATATTTCATTTATGTAATCGATAATCAATATGATACTAAAAAAATATGGCTTAGTTACATATGATAAATTAACTAAAATATCTAAATCAAAACCGTGCAATACCTTTGTCCTCCCCCGGTATATGGAGGTTTTGACTGTATTTTAATTGTGAAGAAATAAAAGAAGCAATAGTAGTTTAATACTATAGATGAAAAATATGTCATGATAAGCCAATAAATAAAATTTATGCAACTAAGATTTTAAATTTGCGTATTTTACATTATTTTTTAAAAGGAAATAAAGATGCGTATAGTTAATAGTAAATGCATGCCGAGTTATGAATAGCCTGGGGCATCATTCAGACCAATACGTGTTTATTATTTTTACATAAAATGTTATAAAAAAACGATTTATTTATAGCGTTATACGAGACTTGAAATTGATACGTGAACAAGATTTTGTCCGACCAAATGTCTTTATCGAAAATTCGAATAGAAAAAACACGTGAAAAAAAAATGTTTGATATTTCTGTTGAGCCAATTTATTATATATCCTTTAAGTACCAAAATACCAATATAAAAACAATAAATAAATAATAATATAAATTATAATGTTACTCGGAAATGAGTTACACGGAAATGAAACATGAAAAAACTTATTAAATTTTCCGATGACTAATTTCCAAATCATAATCGTTGTACGACCTATAATAAGCGAAATTTTTTGGCCATTGAGCTTTGCGGACCCTAGTTGAATCATAAAATTGAAAGTTACTATAAAATTTATTTATTTTTGAAGGGTAACAAAATAATAAACAAATAAACCATTAAGTACTAAAATGAAATCTAATAATATATATTGTTTATTTTAATTGACTTCATTATTAGCTCAACAAAAAAAAAAAACTGATAAGGCTAAGGCAAAAGATTACATAAGAAACGAGGAATGAACTAGTGGGAGGCGGAATTCGCCAGGAGGAAAACGCCCTTCATTTTTCAACGATCCTCGCATTTCATTTGAATCTGTATTATCTGATTTGATTATTTGTCGATAAGCGTTAAAGATTTTTTCAGCCGGGATAAGATTTAATGGTTCAATGATATCAACCAATATTTGACCATTGATTCGTCTGAAATCAATATATTCTACCAAAGGTTCCAATTCTTCCGCAATTTCTTGAAGATTGGTAATGAATTTGTTTTCAATATGATTCCAATTTTCAATTTGTTCCAAGGTTGGTAACCGCTCAATAAGGGTTTCAAACGCATCATTAGAGATTTTCCTCGCCACTAAAGCGGCGCTATACCTGAATACTTCATATTCTGGAGTCGCGAGACGTTTTCTCTTTTCATGGGTATAAAATAGAAGGTATTGAAGTGCTGTAATCGATAATCTACCAAATTCAATGGTATTTAATGGAACGGCGACTATCTTTTCAACCAATAAATTCAGGAAAATGTTATCTTCCGTTAATGGCATCGTGTCAACGACTTTAGTCAACATCTCTGGCAAATAATTTTCTTTATTCTTTTTTATAGCATTTATAATTAAATCTTGAAGGTCAGGTAACTGAAAAAAATCCGCAGCGTTAAATGTTTCAAACAAATTATTTTTGGATAAAGATTCATCCTTGATCATTCCTGTATAAATAAATTCTAATACTACTTCCAATGCAGAACTATTGAGTTCCGGAAAGGAGATCTGCCTTTGATGACTTTCTCTCATTCCATTGTAAAGTAGGTTTTCAAAAACATCGGATCTTGCCGCCAAAATCGCTCTACATCCGTATAATACAATTTCATCCTCGCATAAAATTTCTACATCGCTGTACTTTGGATTATTAATCAATAACCTAAAATCTTGGTTTAATGAAATTCCTCTTGACATATTTTCAAGAAAATAATGGTGTTGGTATTAAGAAAAGACTTGAACTAGGTATTTGAAAGTTCGTTAAAAAATATTTATTGGCACGTATATTTATACAAAAAAAAATTTCCATATTTGGGAATAAATACATTTCTTAAAAGAGGTATCGATCGACTTTTTTGTTTCCAAAAAATAATCATGACACAAATCACCTGACAACACAGCCAATTAAAATTTATAATGAAAAAAAAAATAAAATTAGTAAATAACAAATGAATATAAATATTTATAATGTCAAATCTACGATAATCTCTTCTAGAAAATAAGGGCTATTCAAAAAAGCAGATTCGGAAAGTGATTTGATTGGCGCAGAAAGTTATAGGCAAATGTTTGAATGTACCCATGATTTATTCTAGAATTTTGGAATTAAAATACGCGCATGGTTTTGTATTGGTTAGTCACGGAAAGCTACATATCATATATCCTCTTTTTTGTGATAGGGCTGCTAAAGATAATCCTTTTCCGATTCTTACGTTCAGATCCTCACATATTACATCATTGAAACCTGCATTTCATCGTAGTATTATACTTTTTTGTTTGTTTCATTCTTACGAAATTACGTTTGTTAATTTAGAAACATGAAGAAACATAATCTACGTTATTTCCCTATTATCAATTGAGTTATTGTATTATCTTCTATTAATGTTGATCTTACATACGTGTCGTGTATTAGCTAAATCCAAATCCTTATAAAATGCTAAATAAACTTGTCTTGCTGAAATTAATGAAAAGACTAAAATATTCAACAGAAAAATGTTTCATTTTTAAGATTTTTTTTTTTATTTTTCTTCCATAATCACGCACTCGTGAATTTTCACGTAAAACCATCAAATTAACTGCGTAATAGCCAGGAGTTATGAATAGATTAATTAATTGATCAAGGTAGGAACAAAGGTCATTTTGTGCAAACTTGTGCCATTTTCATTGTTCTACGGATTGAAATAACTCTTTATAAAGAGCTAAGTATTGGTCTTGAGCGAAAAAAAAAAAAAATATATAATCCGAGTCAATAAAAGATGAGAGATTTTCTGGACAAAATCTTTGAAAGTCACGCCACCTCAGAGTAGAGAGAGATACAGCAACTTCGATCAGAAACCTACAAAATAAACATATCTGATTTTATTGCGGACAAGATAATAACTTCAATACGAGCAAATATATCATACCTCTCCTTACATGGTAATAGATGATTAAATGTTGTGAAGGTAGTAATGAGAGAATTCTTTTCAATAACGGATTCTTCGTTGCCATCTTAGCCAAGTCTTTAGTAAAAGACTTGTTGCCACCTGATCACCGACGTTGAGGTGTGACAACTTCGATCAGGACCCTATAAAAAGAAGAATCAAAAATTTATTATATAATCATTGAAGAAAAAAAACTAAGAGCAATAATGAAATTGATTTATCGTTTATTCGGCAATCCAATACGAATCCTTCGGTTGTCAGCGATAGGAGAATAATGATAGTGTTAAATAAGAATTATAAGAATTATAAAAATAAATAAATACAAAGTGAAGAATACAAATAGAAAGTATAAGAATTATAAAAATAAATAAATACAAAGTGAAAAATACAAATAGAAAGCTTGGGTTTGTTGTTCGACAAACGAAGGATAAGAAAAACTAGCTATTTCACATCTCAACATAGGTGAACTTCCCTTTCTTCTAAAAGCAACAGACAACCCTAGCTATCGCGATTAAACGGTACAATAACTCCCTATGTCCATCACCGACATGAAAAGATCTCCCAAAAAAATGGGTATGGAGGATGCGATGTATTCACTATATGTTTTTCCTTCCTCTGAAAATTTTGTAAGTCGGCTCACATATGGTACCGTCTCGTCAAAATTTCAGTAACAGTATATAATTGTAGTACATAAAATAAATTACTTAAAAAGATGAAGAAAAAAGAAAAGAAAGAAAAGAAAATAAGAAAGATAGTTCAGGAAAAGAGTAGAAAGTTTCATCTGCTCATATAGACGAGACGTCTTTGATTTTGTGAAACCTGATGATCATATATAAGCGTGTAGCAAACTTTTACACAGTCACCCCCTATACATCATATACCAATACTTAGTATACTATAAAAAAATCTTTCTATATAGTCACTTCACTATAGTCATGTCACGAGAGGTGTGACAGTAGAGGGGTCGACTGTATATAATACAAGTATTTCGTAATATTTTGGGACGCGTTAAAATTTCAAAACGTATTTAAATAATTCATTCTGTTTTCCTTTACCAACAAATGCAGTTTATTGGAAATCAATTAATGGTTTAAAAATAATTGGAGACCACATGTTGAATGTACCTTACAGCGGGCCGGGCTTCTTTTCTTTCAAAGAAAATACAAAGTCAGTAAAATACCCAAATTACAGTGATATAGTAATTTTGTACGGATGATAAAAGAATGTTATGAGAGACAAGATTATTTTTCCAGAAATCAATCTTTGTATTGGAGGGATTTATTATGAAGACTTTTAAGTTAATCAATTCGCTTCAGTCTCTTTTTATTAATATATATTACACAAACAAGAATAATTACCAGTTGGAAAAAATTTAATTCAGAATATTAAAATGATTGACAATCATTTGTTTAAGTTATGCGAAGGCCTCATTTGGTGTTTCTTTTTTCTTTTTCTTTTTTCTGCTTTTTTTATTAATTTTGGTTTATTAATTTTTTTTCTCTCTCTTCGGAAATCTTCGGAGAGTGGGTCCTTTAAATCTTCGATATTCAAATCAACAACTTAGATTCGAATATTTAATTTTTATTTATTTGGCAAACGAATACTTTCAAACGGAAACCCTATGATAGATGTAAGAACATCGTTACCGTTGACTGTGACAGAAACCATATTTTGTGGTTATCGGATTAAACTAATAAAATAAAACTATTTGCATCATCCCGTAACGTCGCATGCATAATATCTTCCAATGATCCATCAATATTTGAGATGCCACATGTGAATAATCCATACGGTTGATCTTCATTGGAGCAGCCGAACCTTCTGAAATTTGTATAGTAATTATAAAATTGCATGTCGCATATACGACACACACAAAAACATACATGGCAAAGCATGTGCAAGTAGCTTGGTGTCTTCGATTGGATCATCAAAAACTACAGAATTTTCGCGAATACAATCGATGAATTTTATTAAGTATTTTTGGAACAGCAACATGTTGTCGCTTGACCATGCCAGTAACAATTTTATTTACTAAAATAGGCTGGCCATGTTTCCGTGAGCAAAGGTGGCGAGCCATCGACTTTTAAATTCTACATCGTGTAATTACAAAAAAAAAAAGATCTCTGAAAGCTTGCATGAATATAAATTGCGAGCAGCGGAACTCTTATTCAATGGTTTTGAGATCATAATTATAGTTTACCCTTAAATATAAATACTGTGTCGTAATACATTAATGAATCGGTATCGATCAAGTGATAAAGATATCTCAATAACGGTTAGGAATTTACCCTAAAAAAATAAATAAAATTAATGCTATCGTTCATTATTTTTACGATTTCATTGATAAAAAGCTTTTTGTGCCGGTGATCCTCCCCTAAATCCTACCGAATTGAACACGTGGACAGTAATTTTGATATTTTTTTTTTTTTTTTTTGCTAGGTTAAATTTGTCATTACTGTTTCCCAAAATATAAATAAAGACAAAAACGAGATGATGATCAGTTGAACTTTATCTTTTTTATTTTCCTTTTTTTTTCCATCTTTCTTCACACATGGCATCTTCAAAATTATTTTCCGGAGATTTGCCGGAATTGACATACCATATTATACAATATTTAGGAAATGACTTAAGAAGTCTTCATTCATGCGTTTTGGTTAACCGATTTTGGTGTCGTCTCACTATTCCCAAACTTTGGGAGGATCCTTTTTCCACCTCATGGCGAGTCAATTTTAATTGTCATTTCCTTGATATTTATTTTTTGTTCTTGAGTTTTGAAGATAAAATGAGGGAAAAAGAGTTTGGAAAATACAAAATCGATCATCGAATGAATTCATTGTCATTTAACCCATTATTCAATTATCCAAATTTTATTAAAACTCTGAATACTTATCAATTAAAATTACACGTTATCAATTGGTTGGCTTTTCTTGAACATACTTCTTATATCATTCAAAATGATAATAATCCTTACCTTTCTTTAATCATGACACAAGACAAATCTATTGCAAATTTGGATTTGGATATCAAGGAGAAATCATTGAAATCAAGGGGGATGATAAGCATTCTATGCGTTTTATTATTCAAATTATTTATAACCAAAGGCGCTACTTTAAACGATTTGAATATGACCATATGTCGTAACGTTGAATATTATTTCATCGAAGTATATACGCTCATATTGAAAAATCCAAATTTTGTTTCGGATGTTGAAAATTTTACCTTGACATTACCAAATACAGATTTTCCAATCAATTCATCAAGAGACGAAATCCTTCGATCCTTCTTATCCTTATTCACCTCAATTAAGAAACTAACCCTTCCCTTGAATTTCGTTGATAATATATTACTTTCAAATAACCTAACGAATTTAATTCAATCTCAAGCAAATCTATCATCTCTTACAATTACGACATCATGTATTTTCATGCCCGATGCCTTCAGGCATTGTTCAAAGAATTTGACTATTTTAAAATTCCATTCATGTTACTTTACAGATAATTTGTCATTTCGTGGGTTGAAGTATCTCACGCAACTTAAATCTCTTCATGTTATTGAATGTTTGAGATTGAATCATGTCATTCAACCTTTACTCGACATCCCTACCCCGTTGAAAATCAACTCCTTGACGATATCTTGTAAAATTACAACGATCGTCCTGTTACAATTACTATTTCAAAAGATTGGTTCTTATCTGGAACATTTGGAATTAAGTATTTATAATAATATCATGAGGGGAAAAGCATTAGAAAGTATTATTGAAAATTGTGATAAAATCAAATTCCTTAATTTAAATAATCTTAATGTTATAGATAATCCTCGATTATTTAAATTAATCACCAATTCGAGTGATCACCTTAAATATCTTTCACTCAAATATAATAATTATAATTTGGGTGTTAATGTTGATTCATTAGAAGGATTGGGTCAAATATTAACAGGATCTTTAGAATATTTGAATCTATGCCTTCCTTTTAATCCGGGTAACCTGCGAAGCTTCCTGAATAGTTATAGAGGTGGTGGAATTAAGAAATTGATAATCAGAAACAAAAATTATAATACTACACATGGTACTTTAAACGACTTGAAAGATTTTGTTAAAACGAAAGATCTAAATTATCTTTCTTATAGGATTGAGAATGAATATTATGATGATAATGTAATTCATGTTTTGGAAGAATTGGTCAAGGAGATTCTCATCTATGTGAAGATGAAGAATTATGAGGATTTAATTGTAAAAATTTCCGATTTTGATGCATGAAAAAAATCACGTCATTGAAGTTTTTTTTCTTAAAATAAAATGAAAAGTTGTATATACAGGATGAAATTTTTTTAAAAGTCTATCTGTGTAACATCGTGCAGGCAGATACGGTTCAAAAAGTATAGAAACATTACATATCAATCCATATACAGCTCTCCCCAGTAGTTACCAACCTGTCATACTTGAAAACTTTCCTTACCTTCACATGAAAAGAGCCACTTGTAAATAATGTAGATTCAATGTCGTTATATTCTATAAAGAAATTGCCGGAAAACAAGTGTGAGGAATACAAGCGAGTTGAAAAAAAAGGATGTTAACCCGTAACATCGGGAAATCCCAAATTTAGAAGTTCATTGATGAGATAAAGTTGGAATACAAAATATAAATATTACGCAGGGGTTACAGTTTATAATAGTACCCGGGTGCTACTTTTACGGGTGATTTGAATGACATCTCGATTCCAGTTTTTTTTTTTTGCGAAGGAATTATCTTGAGATACTGGTTAGTTATTGCTTGAAAACATTGATGTGACAATATAATTTTGTAATAAAAGAAATCAGATGGATTCCATGTTTAAAGGTTTAATCAGACGTGTTTCTGATAGAAAATATTTAATCGAACGCGTTTCCAATAGAAAATGTTTAATCGAACGTTAAAAGTACTAATACAAGCCGACGCGATGCCAAGGTTTTCTAATCAAATAAATAAACGCATTTTATATTATGAACAGGTCTGACTTGATTTTTGACGCATGGAGAAAATTTTTATCAAGTGATCTTCAACTCAATCAACCCAATGTTTACAAAATCTTGGCGACACATTGAGACGACAAAAAGAAAATTCCAAAAAAATACATTGTGAAACAAATTTATTGCATTTACTCAAAATGATAAGTTCACAAAGCATGGACATGATGTTATATACATCTGTGGGATCACGTTTCCTTAATCTCCCATAACATGAATTAGAGGGTGCTTCGCAAGAAGTAGAATTTCAGCATGTGCTTTCCAACCATTAATGACTGACCAATCAAATGTTAAATAAAATAAAAATAGTCGCGAAATATTAAGGATAGTTCAATACTTTCTTGTAAGGATTGCAGATTTAATGCAATTTCCGAAAATTCTATGGAAAAGGACCAAGAGATTTTTCGGTAAGACGCCACCAAAATTCTTCAAATATAAAAAATAAAATTAATAAAATAAAAAATGAAGAAATAATACGTGTATAAATGAATGGTATTGTGCAAATACTATGTCAAACGGTGTTGTTTGACGCGATAGAATACGTAACGAATACACGAACACGTAAGGTCATTTCTTGGAATCGGTCAAAATATTGCAATAGACTATCAAAGATAACCAACTGCTTCATAGATTTTAAACGTAGTAAACTTAAAGGCTACCGACTATAGCCATTACAAACTCCGGTTTTGGACTTGTAGACGCAACAGCGGCAGCAGCAGAAGCGAAAGCAGCGAAGGAAATTCATTATTGATTAATACTGAAGAATTTCATGCCACGTTGGTTCTATATTTTTAGGTAAAAACACGTTGTATATTTTAAACCGCAACATCATGAAATCATACATATTATATAAAACCAAAAAAAAAGATAAAAAATTATTTATAATTGTATGTAATTAGACTGATTTCTGCCATTTATTCTGATGATGCAAAAGATAGCATTTATATGGTATTTGATATTGTAAAAAAAATAAAAAAAAAAAAAAAAAGAGAAAAAAATTGTTCTAATTATTTATTTCTTTTTTCCAATAAAATAATAAAATAAATATATTTCTTATAATAATTAAAATACGGTAAATTTAACTTTTATCAAATGATGATAATTGAAATAAACATGTTTGATGATTTGCTCTAACCCCATTCAAGACCTTCTTAAATCTTTTCACTTCCCATTCATTTAATTCCTTCTTTTCAATAACTTTCATATCATCCCATAGCCCTTTTAAATATCCTTGATATGATTGATAGTATTCTTTTGCAGCTGTAAAATTTTTCGTGAAATTGTCCAGCTGTGAATTCAAATCCAATAATATTTCTTTTGATAAAACGTATTTTTTTAAATCACTCTCCAATGCCTCCTTATTCTTATCAAATGCTTTAAAATATCTGACCATGTATAACAAATTTCCAAAGGGTTGTTCATGATAACCTATTAAATTTTCAAGGTCATATTTTATGAGATTAACCTCATAAAATATATAATCATTATATTTTTTGAGTAATAATGTATTCTGTAATGCTTCATCAATCTCATTATGTAAGTCCACCAAATCATCAATTAAAATTTCCAGGGAATTAATTATAATAAAATCATCCAACCCATTAAATTTTTCCTTGTTATATCGTTTCCTGACGAATAATGTTTGACAAAATTGTCGTAATTTATAAAATATGCTCTGATAAGGTGTGGATGTTACATTGTTCGATTTCATAATAATTGGTTTTGTGAGGTAATAATTATTTTCGAGTATCTTTTTAATGTTGTGTTCCATGTTTGAAAAAGATTTGAGACTTTTTGAATAAATTGATAAATATGATTGATGCACCATTTGATAATGTTTTAGGAACTCCCCATGATTATTTACAATATTTTGTTCCAAAGTAATATATGAATCAGTATCCTGTAATAATAATTTTAGATAAATGTAATATAATGGTATTTTTTTCGACGCTGAAAAAAATTTAATAAAATTGGTTAACTTTTTTTTCCATAAAAAAACATTTAAAGAAAGTAAAGAAAGAAAAAACCATAAGTTTTTAACAAAAAAAATAAAAAATCTTACATAATAAATAATCTATCGAAACAATTTTATTTCCCAGTATTTCAACAGAATTGATAAATTCATTCACAAAAAATGAATGTGCCTGTGGTGATAACTTTAATTTCAAAAAAAGAAAAATAAATAAAAACAAATAAAAAATAAACAAATAATTTTTCTTTTTTTTTATTTCCAAAAAATAAATTAATTTAATTAATTTATTAATTTAGAAAAAAAATCTTTTTTTTTTCACATACCACGAATTCATTCTGATAAAGTTGAAAATTTTCCTAAAAGTTAAATAAATTTAAAACGAATTGTAAAATAAAAAGAAAATTTTTTAATTTAATTTACCTTTGATAATTCTTTTTTATAATTCAAAATTGTAATTGTTATAATGAAAATAATGATAAAAATGTTGATATATTTGTTCGGTAGCCAAAAAAGTTCACCGTTCCGTGAGGATTTTCTCCTCGATTTTCTCTTGTGTGGTTTTGTTGAATCGCTTCTTCGATGTGACTTGCTAGTTTTGGTCTGCTCATCCCGTGATTTTTTTGATTTTCGAACCTTAAAATTTAAATCTTCATCTTGAGCATTATTATTATTAATATCCACTTTTGCAAGTTCCTCATAATATTTCTGTATTCTTGATGTTTTTCTAATGGTAGTGGTGGGTACGGGCATTTTTTTTACGGTTCGAAATTTGTTCTTTACCTCACTAATTTTTTTAGGTAAGAAAAAAAAATTTTTTTCTGGGCGTTTATTTTTTTTAAAAAAAAAAAAAAAAATCCACTTTTGCTTTTCGAGATAGATTCAATTTATAAAGAAATTACAAATTGTCAATCCTTTTCCAAATAAAATTGAACTTGTATTTGTATTTGTTGTTTGTTTCGGACACAAAAATTTCGTATGGATTTTCATTGTTTTTTTTTTTTTTTTGTGCCCAAGTTTTGAGCCAAGCATCATGGTTTCGAGAACATTCAAATCCCCATTTCCTTGAATTCTTCTTCATCATCATCATGACGTTCTTTTGCTTCGTTGTCCATTCTCCTTGTGACCCTTTTATTTAATTCTTTCATCATGCAATAATAACATTTATTCCACATTCGATTGTTTTATCGGAAAACACCAATTCCCATTTATACCCGTTAAATTGGGTTTGTTTTAATCCTAAATAGTAAAAAAAATAAGAATATTTTTTTTTGCCGCCATGCAATTGCTATTTATAACATCAAACGGTGGAATCGTAATTCCGTCTTGCATGGACAACTTTGGGAATGGATTCACCTGTGACACACTTAAAATAATTCTAGGAACCCTTTGGTGAAATTAAAAAAAAAAAAACCTCAGGAATTTTCGTGAGAAATAATTCATGCACAACTTCGTTGCATCACGTGTTGCTTGGAATAATAATAACAAAGAAAATATTCCCCCAAACTTGTTGGCACAAATTTTCTGCACCATCTATCCCAGTTTGACTAATAGCAATTAAAAAAGGATGGAGCGACAGGTTTTGGTTTGACATAATTCCTGCAGCATTACCATTACATATATTACATATGACATACTTTCAATGCGCGGTTGGGCTCACAGAGGCGCAGCTTCAATTTTTTTTTTTTTGATGGTCATGACACGGGACACGGGGACGCGCAACAATATCGATATATATAAAAATCAAAAAAAAATTTACGTAAAAATTTGATAATCACATTAGATAAATAAGGAATAGTATTGAGAAACATAATACATATAATAAAAATACAACATACTATATAATGAATAAATACATAAGTTTGATAAAATTACAAATATACGATATTGGATCATAAGATGATAACGATAACAAATTAGCGAATGATTTACTAATATATTACATATGTTTGAAATGTCTCGTTATTTTACTAAAATATTTTTGAGAGATTATACATAAAGAAAATCATAAAGTAAAACTACTGTAGCTAAAGGAAAATGTCCCAATACATCCAACACGTTAAACAATGATAAACAATTTAATCATGGGTGGAAGAACCTAAACCAAATGTATCGAATGAAAGCTACAATCCAAGTGTACAATTCGTAGAAATCCATTGCGTCTCGCATATATTTTATGATTAACGTACCCCATTGAGATCTCAAATCATTAATCCACATTACAATCAGCTGCATACGCTCCTTTACAGAAAGTTTTTCCAAAAGTTCATACTTTTCCTCTTCCCTAATAGGTAGAAGCGACGCTACATGAAATGAAAAATCCGCTGCATTTTCCGGAATGTCCAGAGATGATGACAGGTCACGAAGGTGGAGGACCAATGAAACTAGCTCGTTACCATTGATGAAATCACGCGCTATGTTTATTAGCTGCGACGTGGTTGGTTCGTGAGCTGCAGAAGATGAACGGTTCCTACTGATTAATCTTTCCTCCTCGTCAGGTCCATCTTCGATGATTTGAATCTCTGCAACCTCATAACCATTATCATTTGCCCTCATCCTTGAGAGTATCTTAAATCGATTGGTAGCGGTTGCTTGTAGTATCAAATCGCCATCGTTGTTAGAGTCAATCTGTTTGATTTCCAGAAGCGTTCCGTATTCACTCAACCTTGAAAACACCATGCCAAATTTCTTGCAATAACGAGATTCCAAACATGATCTAACGAGCAGTCGATATTTTTGCTCCGTGACCTTGAAAGTATATGACATTTTGGGAAATACCAAGTGACCAACATAAATTGGCATCTCCTGGAGTAATCTCCTGTCGGCTTCCAATCTTCTTGTCTCCGAAATGATAGGATCGGACGGTTCACATGGGTGCTCATAAAAGTACTTTGTATTTGATATTTCCGTCCGGCATTGTCTCAAAGGACATCGACCATATATGCTCAAGCAATGCAAAATACATTCCTTGCAAAATGTGTGTCCACAATTTGTGGTCAAAGGATAAATGCAAGGCTCTCCACATACATGGCACGTTCTGTCATTTAACATGAGTTCTCTAATGTGACTAAGGTCAAAGTGATTACGCGTATCTTGATAATTTACTTGTTCTAAACAAAATTTTTCTGCCCAATCCTGAAGCTCGTTACAGTCAGTTTTAATGACTGTCACGTAGGTTAATTTTGGAAAAAATGCCGTGAAAAGGGGTGCGACAATCTCTTTGGTGAGGTTGTAACATTTTATAAATCGTAAAATTTCAAGGTTCGTACATGAGGCTAGCCCATCTAATGGAGCGCAATAAAAGAAATTTGCCCCAATGAAATCGACGCATCGTAAAGTTTTTGCTTGCGTTTTCAAGGCATTGATAAAGATATGAGTTGGCGTAAGGTATATACTTTGAAACATTTGTAAGGCTTCTTGTTCGTTTATGAATTTTGCTATATCAACGGAACCACTTTCATTATATCTTCCCATGTCTTTCATGAACACACCAAATTGTTCCTAAAAAAAAATAAAAAAAAAGAATGGAAAAGATACAATTTGGCCATTAACACAAAAAAAAATAAAATAAAAGAAAGAAATGAAATGAAAAGAAAAAGAAAAAGAAAAAGAAAACGAAATATGAAACAAACCACTCGTTTACAATTTTTAGCAAGAAGATTAAAGAAGCGAGGCTTATAAATATGCAAATCAACCCAAATTCTATTCACATTTGAAATCAGGTATTCGTGTTCCGGTTGAACGTAAAACATTGGCGTGACCAAACCTTTTGTACCTTCGATAATGTATAATGTTCTTTTTACTTTCTTGCATTTGCTAAATAACTTTAATAGGGCTTTCATTACGATTTCAAATGCATGGTCGTCATAAGACGTTTTTTTTTCTTGAACCCATAGATATATACTTGAAAAGAATGTACGATAATAAAGATGCTTATGATATGAACCATAAGAGAATAACGGTTTATCAAAGATAACAGGCAAGTTAACTCCATTATTTCTTAAATCTTCTCTATCTTCTTCATCCAAACATGCTAAAAATACGTCAATTATCCTAAAAAAATTTGGATTCTTAGCGAACGCATTCGAATAATAAAATGGTTTGGACCAAAGGATTTCAACTATATTCAAACACCAGTATCTGTTCACGAGAAGGCATGAAAACAATGTTCTTAGCCCATTATGGCCTGCATCTAGGTTGTAAAATATCTCTTGAAGTATTTCGGGAGGGAGAGACGACATTTTGCTTATAACGTAAAATCAGCGTCACGAATTTCAAATTCAAATTACCCCTTTAATACACTGCCTTTTTAAAAAAAACAAAAATGTCTCCTCACAAGTTTAAAATTGCTTAAAAGGATGATAACATCTTTTTTTTAAAGTTATTTATCAAAAAGGGTTTGCAAATTAGTCATACGCGATAGTAGATAAGTTAAAAAGAAATATTTTAAGATATGATTTACTGATTTTCTTTTAGCCGGAACCAAACTCGGACCGAAGGTCTAATTATATCACACATATTTTACGTCTTCCTAAATTCAGAAACATGCCGGTGTTCAAAAAGTACTACAGACTGTTGATTTGTTGTCATTTAACTTTTCTGATTATCACTTTCATATCACCTAATCTTATCAAACCATTAAAAACTATACATGGAAATATTCAAGGAAAATTACGGATGGCAAGAAACCTAAATCGTTTTTGGTTACTTTACAGCTGAAGGATATTCACGAGTGGACACGTGAGCTAAAATTTACAATTCACGTTTTTATCTTTTATATTTTCGTTGTTCATATTTTCTCATCGTGTTAGTATGAGATTCCATATCGGGGAATAATCCCTAACCCTAAAGGAAAATTCGTCAAAATATAAATTCGACTCACGATAAGGTATATCATGGGAAGAAATATTGTGAAATAAAGTTGTTCTTACATAGATTTGCCATTGATAAAGCATTTGTCAATTATAATTATTAGGGCCCCATCCAAATTAGTATGTATAAAGTCATTCGCAAGTCCGAAAAATAGGCGTAAAATAATTAGTACATACACTTTATATTATATGCTCCGCAGTAACCATAACACATGATGTAACGTTCGCAGTGAACTACTTACTGTACATTGACGCAATGAGAATTTTTTTTGAATTTTTCGAACTTTATTTTTAATTGTGCGGAAATGGAAGAAAAATGCTTAAAAAATCCGACAGATTGTCATATGATAGTAAATATTTATACATTTAATCAAAAAGAATAAAATAAAAAATCATGTAGGTATATTTATGAAAATATAAATTAATAAAAAAAGGGCGATTGATTAGAGCTTATGTTCATAAAAAAAAAAATTTCTATGCATAATAGTAAATACGTAATAAAAAATATTCATTAATATCATGGATTAATAAAATAAAAAATACATATGTGGTGCTCGTTCTTAATGCCTGTCCATAAGCATGAACAAGTTATCTTAAAAATCGTAAGTATTAATTATTCATTGCCTGAATAATGCATTCAGACTTATCAGTTAATGCTTTCAAACTTAAATGGTGACGCTGGGGATTGTTCGTAAGGGTTTTGTAAAATCGTATAATGGTGAGGGTTTAGTGTCATTGAATTCGTCATGTGTATTTGTTCCGGCAACAAATCCACGCCATTTCTCTCGCTTACGGGAGAACCAAAGATAAGGTGACCCGATTCATTATTAAAGTTCATATGCCTTATCGTTGAGAAGTAAGGTATTGGTTGACCTGGGGTTGATATATGCCGCATCCCATCTTGTTCGTATCCTAACGCGTTGAATTGGTCGATCTGAAATTCGTTGTTGGAACAATACAAAATCTTGGGACATTTATAGAATTGTCGGCAAGCGTCATGAATTGTTCCAAGAGATTGATGTGTAATGGGGTGAATTGGTAAATCAATTGAAGCGTAAGTACATTGAGATGGTATCGTCTGGTAATTTTGTTCAGTTGTGATTGATTCGTTCATCATGTATGAATTATTGGAAGGAATAATATTTACAAGTTCGTTTGGAGCAAAATAGTTTGGGGGAGCAGTCCATACGGGTGCAGTCGATAAATATTCCGGGGAAATGTCACAAATTGGTGGACTTTGTAATGAATTATTTGCATCTTGGGATGTCTTTTCTCGGATACGAGGGTTGTTCTTGGCCTTCATGTTACGAGACTTATCTCTGTTTGGTTTGTAAACGTATCCTGGATTGATCACACCATGTTCGGTCTTCGCAATTTGTGAGAGCTTTGTAAATAATTCAACGACTTCTGGACTACACTTTTTCCAAACTTCGCTCGCAAGTCCGGAAACTATAGGTACTTGAAGTTTAAGGTCATCGATGGCCCCTTGAAACATGGTTCGAAAGATAAAAAATTTATTTGGCGGTCGAGCTGGCTTTTCGGGTTGAGTCTTTGCCCTCTTGTAAAAGAAACGATCTCGGATTTCTTGTGTGGTTGGTACAGGAAATTCAATCTTGAACCCGTCGTTCAAGCTTACGATCACCAAGCAGCGATTTATTCCTTTCGAAGAGTCGAGAATCGCATTGATAACTTTACCGGTGGCCATTTTACGTCCAGACCGACGTGGAATAATTCCTTCATTATCGTTCGGCATTACTAATGTTTATTTATGACAGAATTATATTGCTAAACATGGGGTAAATTTATGTTATCTTTTTTTGTTTTTATTTTTTTAATGGCCTGAATGAAAGTAGGCACCTAAAGGGACGAAGAAAACGTTTATTTATATTTAAAATTCCTCCTCGATGTACCAAAATTAATATAGTACCGAAAGGTGAATTTGGTTAATAATAGAGTACATATTATGATGTGAAACTAGTTATAAAAAGTTTCGGTACAACGGGGCGGTTAATCTGACTTTGTACACGAGAAGTTTCCGTATAATAATGAACGTTAGTAATTACGTTTAGTCTTAACCGTTAGTCGACAATATGACATTTACACGTAAAATAATTTTTTTTCGCTATTGTTTCATAAAAAATACGATTTAAAGCATGAAATGTTTAAAAGGTAGGTAACTAAAAGAAAAGATAACGGTTGAATTCCGATTATAATGATTCAAGCTTGAAAGCCCTACTTAATAAATCTTTTTTTTTTTCGTAGCTCACATTAACCGTTTTAATCTCACAATAGAATTTGTTCTTATTTACATTTTTTTTTTTCATGAGCCAAAATCCTCTTTATAATTTGAATCAGAGATTTTAAGAAATGGTGCATATGTTCATGGCGTATACAATTAAACGCAAAATAGTATTTGTCTACATAATTCTTTGTTTCAAAATGTTTAAAATTCTACCGTTATCAATTATTTCGTATATAGTATGAATCTATGAAATTATCAAAAAAGAAGAAAAGAATTTTTTTTTATTATTTAGAATCTTATCAAGTAATTGCATTGATGTCCCATATTTTCAATTGGATATTGATTTCTTTTTTTTGATTCAGGCGTACATATACTTTTCATGCAAGAAAAAAAACAAAAAGAACCACTACGTTGGCGTTGTAACAAAATTTTTTTTTGACGCTTCACCAATAGGAAATAATTGAACTAATTGTCATGATTTCAAAAATTTCAATGACAATTGTTTATATTTTCGATTGATGATCTTAAAAGGTAAATATGCTTCTCAATCTCTTGAATTTGAAACTACTCCTGCAGCAAAGAACTACATCAAACCGCTTGCTTTCTATCAATTCATACAGGGTTTAGTGGGGAAGTTAAGCTTGTGAATTAAAATAAATCCTTTTCCGTCATTTAATTATATTTGTACAAACAAAAAATGCAAATATTTTTTTTTTATGCTGGTAACAAGTAAATAACAATGAAAAGCCACTCGGCTGCGTTCTTGCTTATTGTTAAATTAGAGTTTTACAAACGCCGCCCTTTGTTTTATTTTTATTTTTTCGTTTAAAATGTTCCGAGAGGTTGACAGTGATGCCATAGACTCGTGATTTACCAATCTGCATGGTGTTGATTTAAGATCTAGGAGTTGATTATTGGTGTTTGGAAAATCAGATTTATTTATTATTATTATTATTTGTTGCGTAAACTGTTGACGACATTTTTTCTTTTCTTTGGTAAGCCCGTTTTTCTTTTAATCCATCAATTAAGGTTTAAAATCAAAATCTGTATACACAAATCGTATGATTGATCCAATTCTTTTAGTCATAATACAATAACGTTATTCACTTTATTAATTTTCATTGGCATTACCTGAAAGAGGTTCATGAATGATTTCATCAAACATCTCCTACAAATTTGCAAACGAAGTGAGAACCCGCAGTAATTATATGAATTAATTCAATGAAATCATCATAGGCTCACCAATCGCGTTCCACCAATCCATCCACCAACCAAATCGTAGCGCTCCGCATGAGACATTTGAAAAAATTGTAATAAAGTAGTGGCCGTCAAAATTATTTGCGCCGTAAATGGATTAACGAAAGGGGTGAAACATGACAAAAACCTTTCATGCTTTATGTGGTTTATAACAAAGTATTAAATTAAACATGATTACATCCAATTAAAAATTTGAAATTTGCTAACCAAACTTTCTTCTATGGCCATCCAATCTCTCGACTCCCAATGCTTTTGATTCTTCCATCCACGTTTGATGATGATACCCTGCTCATCACACTGTATTGCGCAACGATTGCCAATCATTCTCAACAATTTGGCGGACATTTCTTCGCACAAGGAAAACATTATTTTCACATCATCACAATTACTGCACATCAATATCGTTTGCAACTCGGAAGTCGCCCTTAATATCGGTAAGGTGAAAGGATATGTGGTTATAATGTACTCCGTATTGCTACTTGCAGGCCGATTATTCCAGGTGTATGCTTCTAAAATCAAGTACAAATTCGTATACTTCAAACGAAGGCGGTTTACGGTTTGCACAAGCTTTGAAACCGTCTGACTTTGAGCAAGCATGTTTAGTGGATAAAATATAGCTCCGGTTCGTTCGTCTATGATGATATCGACGTCTACATGAATCGCATCTGATTCTCTTTCCGACAAGAGTGGCTATAACGAATGATAAGATCACGATTTATATATTAAACATTTTCAAACAAAACTAAATGAACGCTTACCCTCATGTACTCGAAATCTCTTTCGATAAGCTCTATTTTGCAATTTCTACTCTTCAATGCTGTCAGGAGTCCACGATTTGGCAATATGCGTGCCGAAGCAATATATTTGTAAGAGACGGTGGGTTTTGGAAGCCGTTCAAGTATAGCCTTGCTAATGGAAACTAAATATACAGTTTATGTTCAATGAGATAAAGACTACAATAATAAGCGTATAAAGCATAATATTTTGCGAATACCAAAGGAATTCTTGTTTAAAATCGACACGTTTTGATTCGTAACGGGTTTCACGTGAGAATTTGTTGAGGTCGTGATATCTGGTGTAACGATTTTTCTTGCGATTCTATTGTGTGAACTAGTTGCGCTTGGAGCCTTGCCTGTTAAATAGATATATATATAAAAAGTTAAATTAAGAGTTACATGTACCATGCCGTAATGAAAATTGGTTTGTTTATTGACCACCTTCGCGTCGTCTTCCTGGTTGTAATGTTCCTCGTAATAGCAAGAAATCATCAATTGATCTAGTTGCAGAAAATGAATTCGAAAAAAGCGTTGTATCGAAAAGGTATTGTTCATTAGGAGGCGTAGAATTTTCATTAAAAAACGGAGATGTCGTAGAATGATGTGCTGCTGGAATCACTGTTGCTGGAATCTCTGGTGCTAGAAATGTCGTCTCAGAAGAATTATGTAATGCTGGAATCTCTGGTGCTAGAAATGTCGTCTCAGAAGAATAAAGTACAGCTGGAATCACTGGTTCTGGAATCTCTGGTGCTAGAATTTCTGGTGTTGGAATCTCTAGTGCTGGCAATTCTGCATCCAGAGTTAAATCGACCACTTCAATATCATCAAAGTTCTCATCATCATTTTTGTTCCTTTGATCTGAAAGCCATTGAGTAACACGATCTTGCCTAAACAAATTGGAAATAGAATCATTGATGCGTTCTGTTAATGGAGCCTTTGCATTTTCATTTCCAATCCTAATCCAACTCTTAATATCTGGAATTGGATTATCAACATTTCTAGATCTAGCAGTAGGTTGACGTAATAACGGTTGAATTCTGGCAGATACATTTTGTTTGACAGATCTTTTCTTTTGATTCGAGCTCTTACTAGGAGTATCCGTCCTTCTTGAATAACTTAATGAATGATTATCGTACGCACCAATGGAAAATAACATTGAGATGTCCGAAGAAGTAGCAGGTTTGTCTCGTGGCGCGGCAACGGCCAAACCACTCTTTTTGATATTTGATCGCCTAGTCGCTTCGCCCCTCTTTTTTTCTTTCCTTGATCTTAAATGAATTTCATTGTCTTTATTGGTACTTTTAACGTCAATTAATGCCAGAAAATTGTCCGAATTAAGGCAAGCACTTCCTTCTTGAATTATCTTCGTCAAATCATCATTATGTGGAGTGTGGTCTAAAACAACGATTTGGAGGATTCCTAAGTTAGCAGCGTTTTTGAATGGATTCCAATGAAGTCCAAAATCGCATGTTGATATATCAGATTTTATGAGAAAATTCGTAATGCGTGAGAAATTCACGCATTTGTTGCCAGACCTGGCAGGTTCTTTGTAGAAATTCGTAAATGATACATTATCGAATAAAATAAATAATAACTTCTTAAACTTACGGATATAATTAATTACTGTTATATTTCAATCTACCTGATACATCCATAGATTTCATCCTCGCAACCATTGGCCATTTGTCACCGAGTTCAACATGAGTAAAATTATCGAGATCTTTCTGAAGATTTTCGTATTCAACTTGTTCGGGTGGAGTTTGCACTTTATTTTCAGGAAAGACGTGATCAGTCCTATAATAAATAAAAAGAGCGACTTGATACATAATACTTGAAAGGCGAGATAAGAATTAAAGATGAATAACGTGACGTACATGATGGCATCATCATCATTTGCTGATGAAGTTTCTTGCTTGCTAAAATGCATCATATGATCAGATTTTAAATTTCTTATAACAAATGATCAAATTTCAAGTTTACTTGCCGACGCTTTCTTCGATGCACTTCTTTTAAGTGATCATGTTTTACAGATATGGATATAGGTTCTAATTGAGTCATTCAAACAAAAATGTAAATGATCTTTTTTGTTTTTGTGAAGCAGCGAGTATGACGCGGGTTTCCAACGAAACTTACCTAGCCGTGATATAGTAGGAACGTCGGGAATCACTTCATCCTCTTTAGAATCATCGCCCATTGATTCATCCAAAACGTTAGTACTACTCACGCCCTCTGTTTAAAAGGATTTTTTCATTTGAGCGTACATTCACATGAGAAAGATGATTTTACAGAATAAAAATGAATTTACCCCAATCGTCCAATATCTCTAATGGTGCTCTAACACCAGTTTCTTCGATAACCGAAATTGTCTTGTCCGTTAATATGGATGGTTTGATCTCCTGCCGAACTAAGGACACATTTTCCGAAATCGAGTTCGGGGCATCTTGCACACAAATTATAGTTTCTTTTATAGGCAAGCGAGGTTCTTCTAGGCATTTATCATTCGATCGTAATCCTTCAAGGGAGATTGTTTCATCCTTTTGTTCCAATTCTTGCAATATGGCAAGATGCTCACGTGATATGCTATAAAATTAGAAGACGAATTATTAATTTTGGTGACATTTCCATTTTAAGGCATTATAAATATTAAACTTATGGTATGCCACGTGATATATATATTGAAATAAACACCAGAAATCCTCCGTTTGGACATCTAGAAATGGTTCAGGCTCGTTGAAACGAGTAAATTTAGACGGTAACGATTTGATGATGGGATTTTGATCATTGTTCTCCAATTGCATGTTTTTTGGAAACCTGGGCTCTTCTAATGTCAAATCAATCGTAAAGACGTTCTCTACAATGGTAAAACCTTCATTAATCGCAGCATAAGAATTTGAGCAAAAGTCAAGAAGGTTAAGATAAATTACCGAGATTATTGCACGTGACAGGATCTAGATCACTGATCTCGGAAAGCACCTTGACCAAGCATTCGTTTGTACCATCTGTATCAATCCATTCTTCCGTAAAGGTTTTGGAGACATGATAACCTTCATCTTCTCCTTTTGTAACACGATTCATGGCATGTTTTTCTTCTTGAACGAAATTATATTCAAGAGGGTTCTGATTGTATGATTCATTAACGTAATCTGACAAAACCAACCGTTAAATAAGTCAAATGTGATTTTGACATTGACACGAGATATTAGCATATTTATGTTATCACCTTGGTTTGGTGAAAATAACTCCAACAACTCTTCACCGACATCGTCAACATCGCAAACATTATCGTGTGACATCTTTTTTTTGTTTCTTGTCTCAATTAAATTGGAAAAAAAATTATAAATTAAAAATTGTTGTAAAGGTTAGAGAGAAAGTTATCCTTATTATTCAGATCACGAAAGTTTTAAAAAAAAATACTTGAGTGTTGCGCCATTTAATAACAAAAGCATTGATTTCATGAATGACGCATTGGCATTAGCTCAAAATAGTCTAAATTAAATAGTCTAAATTAAAGTCTAAATTTAAAATAATTCAAAATAATAATAATATAGGAACAATGTAACACAAAGTTTGTAAAAATAGAATTATTCCTTTTAAATTTTTATAATGTTTTTTAAATAAGATAATCATCTTTCAAATTCTCCTTTTTTTTTATTCATAATTCCGGCCCGAGTTACGAATTTAGTTCGAAAATTTCGAAATGTAATGAATTTAAGGTGATGATATTACCAATTTATCCAATTGTACGAAGATTGTCTTTTATCGCTACGTGAGATGCACAAATGCACGCGACGCAGCCTATGAAAGAACGAGAAATCCAAAAAGCATCTGAAAAAGTTCGGAAAAGGGTGGCAAAGTACGAAAAATTCATGTTGATCGCCGCTCTATGGGTACAAACTTTCCAAGACCCTTCTCGTATACAATTCAGTTATACGTACTTCGTAGCATCCACGACATTGTTCTGGGTTATGGGCTAATTCATACATGACTTGTGAAAACCTTATGTTCGAAAATTTAAGATTTTTTATTTATTTATTTATTTATTTATTTTTTTTTTTCAAGAAAGCTTATTATTATTTTTAATTCGTTTCGCATTATCCTTTTTTTTTTTCATTGTGAAAATTCAGAATTTTAAGCCACATTTTTGAATTAAAAATGCATATCAGTTCATAAACAGGTTTTTTTTTTTTTTTTTTAAATAAAACACCTCATTTCCAAAAAAAAATATGAACTAGTCAAATTTGTAAACTAAAATTAAGAACGAATTAAAAAACAAAAAAACAAATTCTCATCAAAAAAATAGGAGTATTAAAAAAAAAAAAAAAAAAAAAAAAAAAAATTTTTTTCGACGAAAAAAAAAAAAATTTAACCGAGAACTGCTAAATTCAACCTTATGTCGAAATCGGGGTAACAATTAATTTGGTGATATTAATATTACAAAACATATGAAAATAACTACTAAATCAGGTTTTCATCCGAAATTTATTGTTAGCAGAAGATTTTTTTTTCTTTTTCAGACAAATAGGAAATAAGATCCACTCTGTTCATGTGAGCAAAAAAAAGGTCGATCACACATGTACCAAATTGGCGGCAAAAAACCACCATTGCATATCTTTCTCCGTCACTCAACCAATTGCTAAATTTCTTAAAGAAATTACGCTATGCGATAAGAAATTAGATAGATAGATAGATACGGGAGATACAGGAGATAGGGTGTAAAATGGTGCCATTGCGGTATAATTAAAAGATTTTATGGTCTTTGAACAGGCAAAGGGGCAAATTTAAAATAAAATTGTGGTGAAAAAAGAAAATCATTAAGAGTATTAATTTTCAAAGAGATAACATTCTAATGACGTTTAACACTTGCATCACGAACAATGGATAATCAAGCGTGGGATAATTGAAGCATTTCCTAATTTGGTGAAATGTTACCAAATTGACGGGGTGTCAATAAAGGTCGGATTTGGCTCCGGAACATGGCGCAGTATATCTGGTATTAGCATTTATTGCGGAAAGATGGTGGCGTTGCACGTGGGCACGGTACACCCCCCGTTCATCGCGTTCGAATCCCTCAACTTATTTTAATCAGGCTGCAATATTCTTGATGTTTAATAGGTCACGAACCAAATGATCATATAAAGGTCGTGTGATCACCAATTTCCCGGAACCTAAAATGTAAAAGAGAGATGAAACTAATAATAATAGATAATGATAAATGCAAGACATCAGCTGAATACAAAACCACGTTTGCATCGTGCTCATATATATTGTGTAATGTATGTAATGCCAGCTTTACATAAATGCAAGCTAATCGCCCCGAATTTCCCCAATCAATCAACTTCTAAATATAACGCAAGCTCAATACGTACCGATATTATTGGATTGTTGTTTTCCAGATTTGTCATGTGCAGAATCTACGGGGATGACTCACACTAGCCATAATGTTGAAATTTTTTTTTTCATTAAATTTTTCACAAGTTTTTTTTTTCTTTCTTTTCAGAAAACGTAATTTTTTGAAGGGGAAGGTCGTATGACCTGAACAATTTCGTAAATGGACTTTATTGTCAAGACTTTAATAGTAATAAGATGTACAAAGAAAGGTTGATTATTGACATAGGAAGATCCATTATAACTTTGAAACGTAGTGACTAGAGGTAACCAACAGATATTAACGACAATGACCATGCTGCATTGAGGCAAAGTGCTCTCTTAAAAGGTTTTTCTTGCATTTTTTTTTTTTTTTCTTTTTTCTTAGTTCCAACATATTATAACATATTACTCTTAAAAATAACTGTATGTTCGAAACCAAATTTGGTGGGATAACTGCGGAATCCGGTTTGTTATATTTAGTAATTCATTCAATATAAATTTCATATAGAATATGAGAGACAAAAATAAATAAAAAAAAACGATTTTCAGAATGTAAAAATGTTACAGTACAATATACATCCAATTTGTAATTCTTGTAATTCATATGCCGCTTGTCGATTCTTAAACTAACATTATAATATAAATATGTTGATAATCGATTTATATAGTATAAATGTGTTTAGTATAGTTTGATAACATAGATTGATTTTATAATTTACGCCATCACCTAGCACAATAAATTGCATTTTACATTGCCCGTATAAATAAATTTGTTTATTATAAGGAGTTATCATCATCGTTTATCTTTTTCAAAATATATAAAAAAAAGGGAAAAAACATATATATATATATTATAAATTCTTTTTTCTGAAAGCTATAAATACTGAAAACTATTTTCCTTTCTGTTTTGTTTTCCATTAAAAAATTTTTTACTTACCCAAAAGAAATTATATTTCAAAGAAATAAATCTTTTTTTATTAAATAAAAGACAAAAAAAAAAAAAAAATGACTTTTTACTCACTTTGGTACAAACAAACTATTAATGGAGTTATTCCATCATCAAGCGCTACTTCCTCGCAAACAGATTTAACGGTCGCTCAAGTAACCGTCTGCTCAATTAAAGATAAATTGGTATACAACATTGAATACAAACCAACCTCTCTCGAGGAAAAGCCAATCTCAAAGAGCGCTTCCAATCGTCGTGTTCGACTCAACACTGCCTCATCATCATCGACAACATCATCAACGTCCACGACATCCTCGTCGTCTTCAAATACATTTGCCGCTGCTAGCGTCGTGGCCGCCAACTTCAGAAATCACGGAAGGAATCATTCAAGAATCCACAGCAGACAAGTTAGTTCTGAATCTTTGTCGGACGTTTCCATGTGGGATGATTGGATCGTAAAATACGTTAATGAAGACAACAAAAAGACTATCGTCGCAGAAGACTCCCCAATGGAGGAATGGGTAGGTTTTCCCCCTTTTTTTACGTTCTTAACCCTTTGCCCCCTTTTTACCTGCGAAATGAACATACACTGAACCCCTTTTCCTTTTTTTATTTACAATCAATAGATATTCGAAACGATGTAAAAAGCGAATATCCGAAAATCATATTTAACTTAAATTTCAAAATCGTTAAAAAAAGAGTCGGGTATTCTTTCTTCAACGATTAGATATCATATAAACACACTTTGTATATTCTTCGATTTGTAAATTAATATTTTAGACTAAAGGTTTTGAAAATTGGATTGGCAATATAATAACTTATTATAAAAAAAATCGACATCGACATCACACCCTTTTTATTATAACGATTTTTAAACATTCACGTATTTATGTATCATAACTAAAATTAAGATTTATTTAAACATTCCAAAAGATAACACTATAGAAAATACAATCATACATCCTTAAAAAAGTCCTTTTAAACATTCTTTTCAAAAAAAAAAAATAAATAATAATCATAATGTTAATAATAGAATAAATTAATAATTCTTATAAAGAATAGCCAACGCGAGTTGGCTCTTTTAATATATAGTTAAATTGTTGTTTTTATTTTTTATTTTTTTTAAAAAAAGGCTTTTTGATAAAAAAAAAAATTAATAATAATAATATACATCACCTTTTTTAAAAATAAGATATAATATTTAAGTTGTCTTTTTGTTTTTTTTGATTTAATTAAGCTTTCAAATTCGAGTAATTCGGGAAATCACAAACACAAACAAAACTTAACTTCTTCACTGTGTAAAAATTTATTCTTTTTTTCTCCTTTGTAAATTTTCATTGCGTTGGTTCTTTTCTTTTTTTTTAAGATTTTCGCGTTAATAAAAAAGAAAGATAATATCCGTTTCTGTACATACAAAAATTAAAAATGTGTCACAAGTATCCATAGTGTTTTTTCTTTTTCAACTTGTTACTTTTACCGTTTTATTTATTCGGAGTTTCGTCATTTACCGATTTCCGTGGCGCAGTTCATTGTGTGATTTCCCGCTAAAACAGTTTGATTAAAACCACCAACAAGGGGAAGGGAGATTTAGAAGATTCTCCATTTGCTAAATAAAAGAGCAAAAGGTCTTAAAAGAATTGTTGTTAAGATGAACACGAGATGAAATCCGGGACTGCGTGTTATCGACAAAAAGACGTTTTTATTGTGTAATGAAAGCATCCCATTTATTCCATTTATTGATTAGGACAAATCATAAGTTAAAAACACCGTTGAAAACGTAACCAAAGATAAAAGATAAGATTATTTATGCTCGTGCGTTTATTTTTTATACAAAGCGAATGATCATTCAAAGCTTCAATCGATTTTCGTGAAACGGTCATACAAAATGTTTATATCTGCCGTTAAATTAATATAAACTTAAAAGTTAACGATAGATTATCTCTTGCTTAGATTAAAAAGTTTTTAGAATGAAGGTATGCAGTTCTTTTATTCTCTTAATCAAATAAACGTAATGTCATATGTTAGGTTACAATTTCATTTACTCTTTGCTTATTTTTCCGCAAATATTCATTGGTCCCGTGCGCCTATACCTTCACACAACTTGGCGTATTTCATCTTTAAGTTGTTCGGTCGGATACGATATGAAACTAATAATGAGAGGTCGTATGATTTTATTTTTGGTATTATCGTCGAGGGCGTAATTTCGATTACCTTATTTCTACGGCTTTTTTTTTTTATTTATCTTTACCTATTCCTAAAATTTTCTTATAGATCTTTTTTTGATAAAAAAAAAAAAAAAAATGTAATGTATAAAGCAGGGAAGGGCAGAAACTCTATAGAGATAATGCAACACTTTCGTTTCATATAGTCATGCTTAAAAAAATTGATTTTCATGAGATTAACGTTTTACAGATCTTTTGGTATCATGTAGATTTTTTTTTTCTTACTTCCTCTAAAAGACAAAAAGAAGATAAAAAAAAAAATTCCTACACACATGAGGAGGGATCTTCAATCCTAATTTAAAAAAATATATATATTTATTTGCATCAATTAGAAAGATTATGTGAAGCTAATTACATTAGTATGTTTTTTTACCATAAAGGATTTAGACATGTCAAAAAGGTGCAAAAAACCGGTCGATTTTCAACATTTTCTTTTTATTTTGATTTTTAGACATATGATCTTTTGAACAATGGAGGGAAATAATTATTTCTCCAAAATAAACTTGATTAGATACTAGTTTCTCAAACATAATAATGAATCTGTGTATAGAAATAGTAACCTTACCTAGCACCCATATTGTTCATAGGACAGAAATGGGTCGGTCAGCTATGCCGTAAAGGGACATCATGACGTAGTAGCAACCTGACTTCTTTTGAAACGCGGAGCATGCATTACATATCATTTGGTGATGAGTCATTTCCAAGATGCGTCACGCGTAGTTATCCCGACGAATTGAATAGGGTGCCTCTATCAAAAAACAAAACAGTTTTGAACATTTCACCATCATTTATTTCATTTTGCTTTGGTCATTTGTCGATTAAAAGAACGAATTCCAATCTGGCTTAGTACCTAGGGCTTATAATAACATGATCTCAAACCTGATTTCTTTCGGTATTTACCATAATTCTTTGAACCATTAATGCACTATAACGAACTTTATATTGTCATGTTAAGAGATTAAATCTGAGTGGTCATTGAATGGTAGAGAGATGGGGAAGAAGCAGAAAAAAAAAAAAATCTAAGCCAAAGTGAAAAAAGGACCGGGTCATCCCATGATGTTTCAACAAAATCTTGTTTCTTCACAAATTAAATTTATCATATGAAAGGCTCCGATTTATTTTCGATGGCTTGTTACCCTTGAACTTTCAATTTTTAATTATCTGCCTACTCTTGGCATCCTAAACCAAATCCCTTTTTCGTAATTAATTAAAGTTTACGCCACGAGCTTACTAAAAAAGAAATATTTTCGAATTACTAGTTACAGTTTCTTATCAAGCAACATCTAAAATTAAAATCCGAGATTCCGAAATTCTGAAAGAGATTTATCCATTAATTTCGGATATTTCTGATTACTAAATCGAAACAAGACCTTTTAAAAAACAATTTCGGGGAATAATTATATAAATTAAGGATAAACCAGAAAAATAACGCAAGTGGATGATCCAATTTATAAAATAAATATAGAAAATGAGCATCCTTTTTAAAAACGCAATGATTTGACAGATAATTTTTTTTAAAAAAATGGCCTTGCTCAAAATCACACATTTCCGAAACCCTTTCCTTTGATGATGTCATCTAGTCCAATGACAGAGATAAATTAGATGATTACAAGTATGATTACCAGAAGAGGATTCTTTAATATGTACGCTAGGTATTTTTCTGTCATGATATTTAGGCTGAGACCATTCATTGCATTCATTGCATTGTTGTTTACCTTGTATTTTCCTTAAAAACAATATTAATAGCATATTTTGCCACCTATTAGCTAATATTGAGAACCAAATAACAAATAAAAAAGGTCCGTAGCGCAAACCAGTATGCAAACGTGATAAACATATCGAAATGTCATGTGGCGAAAAAAAAGTGTAACTGTAAATAGACATAATATGAATCTCTTTTTCTTTTTTTTTGGAAAAAAAAATCAAGGTTGAACCATTTGATTCGTTAGGTCAATTTGGTAAGTTTACTATGAAAAAAAAAAAAAGTTGATCCGAGGGTAATTTGGAATCAATCAATCAATCGGGTGTGTACGGAAAAAGGTATTCAGAAGCCTGACACGGGACACTATTCACGGGACATTATTTACGGTACTTTTTCACGGGACCTTTCAGATTTTTCCCGAGAATTTGATATGTTTGGACCTTTTCTTAGCCTCAAATTTTGAACAGTATGGAACGGATGAACGGTGAAGCCACTTTTTCATTCGTCTTCTTTTTTTTTTTTAAAAAAAAAAAAGAATCTAGTTGTGACCGGTTTAATAATTACACAAAAAAATCTGTTTATTATTAAAACATTATAAATCGAATAAACTTAGGTAATAATTTAGATTCGTATTCCATCTGCACGTCGAATTTTCTCGTTGCATTAAAATTTGCATAAACTATATTTTGTGTTCATCAAAAAATCTTTTTTTTTTTTTGTACTTTTATTATGTAAATAAATTATATAACAAACATCACGTGATTTTTCGTGTATTTAACTTCTGATCAGAAGATTGATTCTTACAATAGCAATCAATCGGATTACCATTGACGATAAATAAACGCGCGAATATTCATACAGCCGTTCGACATGTTTTGCAGTCGGTGCGTTTAATAGTCGGTCGAACGTGTAAATTTTTTTACAATATCTTTGAATTGTTGATCGGCATTATACAATTTTCACTTATTTTGCTGCGAATTAAGATAAAAAAAAAAAGTACTGGAAAGAATGCCCTAAAAGCAGCAACTTAAGAATGCTCTTTTATATTGTTTGATGAGGTGTTCAATAATTGAGAACGACATGAAAAATTTCTATTTTGAATCACGATAACTGATTCTCGTAATCGTAAATTTTAAAACAATGCAATTTTTAATGATAATTTTTTTTATAAATTCTACTCAAATATGTTACATCATCTTTTTTAGCTATAATTTTACAAAATATTAATTTTTAATTGCCCATGTCAAGAATCAATATAATAAATACAGACCTTTCAGTTGACTCAGCCGCCGACTGAGTCACGACTCTCATTTGAAATTAGCAATCATGATTTGGTTATTAATATTTATTTAAAATTTTAAAAAATTATTTAAAATTGAAAAAGAAATTACAATATAACAGAATCATATTGAAACTTTTTATTTATTTTTGAGAAATTTGGAACAGTAACTCAATCAATCATTTGAAAGGTCTGGAGTCGATTTTGCTTGGTTTTTGCAGAGTCGATTCGACTCCAAATGATATTGCTTATAGAAGTGACTCCAACGCGCTGGTATCACTACCGCGTATAGAAATAGCTAAAAAGTATTTGAGCACATCTTTTAATAAATATCATATCAATATTATCGATTTCATGCAAAAAAAAAGACTTATTGATTTGAAAGGAATGTGAAAAAAGAAAGATTGATAACGCAATGCTATCTGCAAAGGAAGGGTAAAACATTTCATCAGAATTAAATTGACAATATAAATAAATGATTGAAAACATGCATTAAAAAAATCATGGTATTCCTATGAAATTAACATTGGGAAACGTATAAATGCATACAGAAAATCTAGAACACGTATGATTTTTCGGCTGACCCGACATTTTCTATTTACCTAAATAATAAATATAATGAAAGTTTCCAAAATAATATTTGGTCTTGAAATAAATAAATACATATTTTTTTGTTATTTCGATAGAAAAAATCAAATTCCTTTAACAGAAAGTAATTTGATTAGCGTAACAGGAAATGACCTGTAATCTTTGTAAAACAACCGAAACGTACACAAAATTCAAATTCGACCATTTTGTTGATTCTGTTTCACACGCACGAAACAAATAAAAAGTACCATTTATTTACTTTCTCGTCGTCAACAATTTGAACATGGATGTGTGTTTTTATTTCAAATGAAATAATTATTGTATCCAAAGGGACTTTGGGTAAGAGTTATGCTATTTTGAATTTACCGCTGAATAAATTCAAACATTCTTTTCAATCCTATATAGACTAAATAAAGTTTATGTTTTGACATGTAAATTTTACGCAAGGTGAACGTCATCTTTCCGGATAAAAGCAGGATTCTAACACCTTTTCATGGTTCACTAACCACAAAGTGACCATTGGTTCCATAAATGGTTTATTTTTACTATTGGTTTTTTATTCATTACTGATTAAATGCCCCTTTTAAAAGATTCAATATCACACAAAATTCTTTCCACTTTTTTTTAAAAAACAAATTTATCAAAAAAAAAAAAATTTAATCCTAGGTTATAGATAGAACTTATTAATAATGAGCAATCAACGGAAGAACTATGGTTCTACTTCTCTTGGTATTATATACAATAAATATTACGCAATTTACCACGCTATCCAATCAATTAATAAATTTTTCTTTAAAAAAAAAAATAAAAATAAAAATAGCCACCAGCGATGTCAGTAGTGATTTTGATGAAAATGATAATGATATGAATGATATTTAGAATCTAACGAACATAGAGGATCAAATTGGACTGCTTATTTCAATATCATGTAAATTCATACCGTTGCATTCTCTTAAAGAGATCGATAATAAATCGTAAATATTTCCTCTTTGGTTTTGATTCGTAGATGTATTGTTGCGGGATCGGAACTCTTGGCATTCCGTATGCGATACAACAAGGAGGATGGATATCCATCCTAATCATAATTCTTATGGCGTTTATGAGTGTGTATGCAAACATCAAACTAATCGAATGTTTATACCACAATAATGTATCGCGTCGCATATCCATAACTGAAATAGCCTATGATGCGTTCGGAAACGCTGGATCGGGATTCGTAAACTTTTTTTCTAATGCAACTTGTATCGGATCTCCAATAGTTTATTTAATATTATCAGGAGAAAATTTTAAAAAAATATTCGAGGATAATTTTGACATCTATTTGGGAATAGGAACTTGGATTTTTATTTGCGGAGGCATGATGTGCGTTCCTTACGTGCTACTTAAAACCATGAAAGAAGCTTCGTGGTTAGGGTAATTATCAAAATCTATGCTTCCAATGTTATAAACTTGAAAATAAATATAACTTTCTATATTTTTTTAAAAAAAGTATTTTTGGAGCATTAACTACAAGCTTGGTTGTGTTTGTGGTGCTCTTTGCTTCACTTATGGAATTACCAAATAATCGAGATAAGAAACATCAAATAATAAATCTTAGAAATATGCCGATAACTTTAGCAACAGCATTTTTTAGCTATGGTGGAAATGTCATATATCCTCACGTCGAAGCAAGGTAGAGTCATTTAATTTCTCACATCATACATATGGATCGTTAATTCCACAATTTCACATTAATTTAGCATGGAGCATCCAAGAGCTTGGCCAAAAGTACTTAGTTTGGCTACCTCTACGATCACCTTTTTTTATCTTTTGATTGGAATTTCAGCATATGCAACGTATGGAGAAGATACATTATCACCGATTTATAAGAATCTCCCGGCAGGTTTAACGGTAACGATCAGCGTAGTAATGATATCAATTCACGTTTTAATGGCATTACCAATTTTTTTGACGTCTTTTGCGCTTGAAGTTGAAGATTTTCTTTCAATCAATGTCGCTACGCTTGGTAGAAATCGGGAATTCATTTATAGAGCTGCTTTAAGAATCATTACTTTGTCTTGTGCTATCTCTATAGCTATTGTAGTGCCATAGCTTTAATTGGCGCTCTTAGTCAAGGAATATTATTGATTTTTATGCCTATCGTAATTTGGATTAAATTATTCGGGTGGGAATCCATTGATAGTTGGAAGGAAATTATTTTGGTGATTTTTGCCTTGATGTTTTCGGTTATTGTTATCGTCACTGGAACCATCCTTGCCACCTACGCTTTATATTTAGATATCACGGACCCCAATTAAAATTATCACAAGGCGTGAATGATTGTTACACACAATTTATTAATTGTTTAATTAATACTTTTATGCAATAATAAAATATATAAATAAAGTTAAGAACGGATGATCAATAAAAAAAAAACCTTTTCTTTCTCTCTAGTTTGAGTTTTATTTTTTTAAAAAAAAAAAAGAAAAAGGGAATATGTCATGTTCCAAATTATTCTCTGGAGATTTGCCAGAGATAACAAATCACATTCTACGATATGCACGTAATGATTTTAAATCGCTTCATTCATGTATTTTGGTAAACCGATTTTTTTGTCGTATCACGATTCCATTGCTTTGGGAAGATCCTTTCTCAATTCCCATAAGTAATAAATCTTTTGTTCATTTTCTTGACGTTTATTTCTCATATTTGAGCGACACCGATAAAAACGCATTAAAAGAATATGGAATTGATAGAATAAATTCCTTGAAATTAAAACCACCACCTTTGTTCAATTATCCGAGTTTTATCAAGATTCTAAATACTTCCCTAATGGAATTGCACATCATGGTTTGGATTGATAATTTTTCAACGTTATACAAAGAGATTGATGGATTTTTTGATGATGAAATTCAGGTTTCCGAATATATTAGCAGATGTGAGATCAAGTACCCATTGACTGAATACAAGGAAATAAATGCCACGAAAACGGATACACTACGACAAATCCTCTTAAATAGGGCAAGGTTTATTCCGAATTTATTACAGAAAATAAAATACATTTATTTTTTACTTTTTAAAACATTTATTGAGAATGATTCTTCTTTAAGTGAATTACATTTAAAGAATCATTTCAGTTCCTCAAATCAATTCGCAAATTATATTTATGAATTGATCTTAAATAGGCCAAAATTCATTTCGGAAATCAAGGAATTTCTCATATTAGAATCAGGATCAAGTGGTGAATGTTCAGAGGTTAAGGACTTTCCCGTATTGGAATCGGGATCAAATAGTAAATGTTCTCGCGTATTTCTTCAACAATGTATGTCCCTTCAAAATTTTTTATCTTCATTGTCATTAATTTGTCATTCTATTAAACATTTGAGCCTTATCTTTTCACATGACATTTATTCAAAATTTGTATTGGAGATAAATAATTTGTTCAAATCTCAAAACACATTATCAAAGGTTTCCTTTGATACCTTTATTGATTGTCGAACCTCCTCCATAACTGAATCTTTAAGATATTGCTCAAACACCTTGACGACGATTAGCTTTTTCTTCATCACCTTTAAAAATGACATGCTATTTAATGAACTTGAACATTTAATACATATTAGTTGTTTGGAATTTCAATGTTGTGAAAAACCTGAATTATTCATCCAATCCTTATTAACCGTCCCTATACCATTGAAAATCAAAACCTTATTACTCGATCATAATGAAATTCAATCTATCAACACTATACAATATTTTCTTCAAAAGATTTCTTCTTGTTTGGATAATTTGGCAATAATTTATCAACCTTATTTCATGGAAGAATACCTCGAATCTATCCTTCTTTATTGTGAAAGGATTGAATTCTTTCATTTAGGCGCGATTGATTATGATAATTTACCTAAATTATTTCAGATAATTGCTTCATGTGATCAACTGAAATACCTCACCCTTGAAATCAAGTATCATGAATTTAATCAAAAGGAAATAAGGTCATCCAATTTTGACATTAGGTACGTTGATCAGGTTGATGATTTAAAAGTGAGCTCAATGATTCTAGGGGAATTGGGTCAATTATTACCAAGTAACCTGAAATATTTGGACTTGAGTTTCGTATTTGACCCAAAGGATTTGAAGATTTTCTTTGATAATTGCCAGCATGTCAATCTTCGGCAATTATTAATTAGGAACAATAGTAAAAATACTTTAAATTCGACTTTGGATGTTATAAAAGAGTTTGTTAGAGAGAAAAGGTTAGAATATTTGGCTTATGCGATTTGCTTGTATTATTCAAATTCACTTAATAGTTTGGAAGAGTTGGTTAAAGAGACTGGAAATTTGGTAACAATGAAAAATTACGATGATTTGGTTTTAAAGGCGTCAGATATTGACGGGATTTATCGTAATTGAATTTTCATTTCTTTTTTTTGCACATATTTGTATAATAATTGGAAATAAAGAAACCTTTTTACAAAAATCAGTCAATTCAAAATTTTTTAATAAAATCACATCGAAACGGATGTATTGAGTACATAGGTAATAATATATAAAATAATAAAGGTTTGGGTTGGGTAACGATATATACATATAATAATAATCTAGTAATATAAAACGAATAAATCAATTATAAAAATGTCATGATAAAATTGCGCGTAATTTTAAGGGGGATTAAGGATTCTTTGGAGGAAACTCGTCTTCGGCACTTTTTGGAAATTTTGGAGATTTTTAATTAGGAGATTTACCATCTTTTCCTACTTGACCACCTTTTGGAAATTTGGGAAATTTACCATCCTCTGGGAATTTGCCATCTTTTGGGGATTTACCATCTTTATCGTCTTTACCACTTTTTGGAAATTTGGGAGATTTACCATCAGGAGATTTACCATCTTTTGGAAACTTGGGGCTTTTGTCATCATCTGGGAATTTTCCATCATTAACTAATTTTCCAGACTTGGGAAATTTACCGTCATCCTCACTTTTGGGAAATTTAGGGAATTTGCCATCATCTTCACCTTTTGGAAATTTAGGTAATTTGCCATCCTCATCATCTTTTGGGAACTTTGGTTCTTTAGGAGAATCAATCGAATTTGGATCTTTTGGAAACTTGCCGGATTCAGGTGATTTAGGAATTTTAGGAATGCAATCATCATCCTTTTCGTCTAAATATTTTATTTTTGTTTATCTTTTTTTAGATTAATTCCTTATCATTATATTTAATTCAAATATGCTTACCGCAATGATGCTTGTCATCTTCTGATCCTCTTTTATGAATAGTATCGGTTTCGATTGGTACAGCGATAGAAACAGTAACGCATAAAGATAAGGCTACAATCACAAATAAAGCAAAAGAGAACTTCATTTTTAAAAAATTTTCTTTAGTAACCTTAAAAGTTTTGATTCGATTTTTTTTTAATGTCTTTGAAATATTTGAGGGAAATGATTTGTTTGTGAGTTGAAGGAAAGAAGCAACTCGATGTTTATATATTTATCAATTAATCTTGGCATATTAAAAGTCTGTTAGGTATATAAAGATTTGAGAATTGATCATCATACGATAACGCCTTTCGCTTTCATTTTCTCAATGGCGCAAGTTTTCCTATTTGCCTTGGCACATTTTAGCAAAGCATGACGTTTTTTTCAATCCAGTTAAGCATTTTTTTAATTTTGTTTATACCATCGGATATTCAACATATAGATCGTTCTAATGTCGCGTATAAATTATCTTCGCGTCACGAATCGCGAAATACTGAATATCCTAACCAAATTTATTTCCCCATGAAAATTTATTATTTCAATGGTATTATCTTTTCCTGTCTCGGCGTGAGAAATAAATTATAAATTACATATAGCTTTTTTAAAAATCACATGATTTGTCGATTTACCCCTTTATCTCGATAGACATACATTAAATTGTTCAATTTCCAAAATCGAAATGAAATTAAATGTAAGATGTAAAGCATTTTTGGTTCGAATCAAAATATTTATCTTTATTTGTCAAGGTTTTAACTATAATAGTACCGGTCTGGGTTAAACGAGCCAAGAAAAATTAAACAAAACGTCACCTTCAAATAAATTTAACAATGTTGCTAATTCTTCACATAGCTTTTAAAGTTATGAACGTTTAGCTTGGCCAAGAGCCAAGTAAAGGTGATAAACATTAAGAATATTAAAGGGTTTAGGAAATTTAACCGTTAATGAAAAAGGATGATTTTGGCGTAGAATTTTTTGGACAAATTTATCTCGGTTGGAATTACTTTTAACCGACGGTCACTCCCGGACGAGCGAGCCCTCTACAGATTAGTTGAAAATCATGATGCATGCATATATACAATTCTTTTAAATCTATTTCTTGCAGGGTCAAAATGAATGATGCGAAAATAAAAATAATCGTATACTATAAATAATTTCGTGTATTTTAAAATTTTTCGTTGACAAATATTAATCAACATACAATGTATAGATGTTAGATAGCTAAACAATCTTAAATAACAGCGCACTTTCAGGGATTATCTTTAATGTAACCTTACTTTAAAATCATACAGAAGCCAAATCATACCAGAAACGAACAACAAAGATCACTTGGCGACAACACAATAGTAGGTACCAAATTGTTCTATGAACTTGATATTCTAAGAAAATTGAGTAACATTCGAAAATTGTTAAAATTATTGAATAAAATATTAGTATTGTAACTTTTGTTTGAAATGCTTCATCGATTGAATTATTTATGAACGAAATAATCAGTAAAGATACAATACGACCTTTGTCACTCTAAAAGGTGTATTGTTCTTGACAGGCTTCTAATAGATGAATCGTCTCCCTCCAAGCTTAAACAGTTTTCATCGTCATCACGTCGCCATCTTTTACATTTTGTGCTTTTTTTCATTTATTAATATAATTTTTATTTTGTAAAAGTCAATTCGCTTATCCATCGAAGTTGATTAAGCGACTCGACCATCTTTTAATATAGAAAGATGAACACTCTAAATCTTTAATTAACTTCTTCAAAGATCCATTTATTGGTTCATTAAATATGACATTCTGAAAAAAATATATACTGTATATGCGAAATCAAATTATTCAATATAAAATATATGTTCTTGGAAAAACAAATAACAAATATTTGAAATTTCATATGCTCTAATAATTCTACGGCACGGTTAATAACAAGTTCTTTAATCTCTTCTTTTAAATTTGCGACCTTACTATCTTTTTATATTTTTCTCATATTTCCAATTTCCATTTCCTTTTTTCTTTTATATTGACAACATCTTTTCTTCTAAGATTTCTTTCAACATTGTTGCAGATCATTCCATTACAGAACATTGATATCAACTCGCGTGCACAGTAAGTCCTAAATCTTGATGGTGTCTCTTAGTAGAATTACTCCTCTTGGACTTTGTATTCTTATGTGTTAAATTACTCTAAGACGCGAAATAATGAAAAGGCATACCTTGCAAGCTCGTTCAATTTCATATCCTAGTCGCACCAACTTTAGTTACATCTCATTATTCTTCTTCGAGAATAACCTTTTTTAAGACTTTTTATAGTTGCTATACGTGTATTTTGAATTGGTAAATTTCAAAAGCAAATGTTTAACAAGATTTATTTAGAACTTGTAAAAATTCGATTTATTTTCGATATATTCAAGAGTTTTACTTCTTAACAAACAAGATAGTGAATTGTTATTTTATTGATGCGAATCGGCTTCAGGAATTCGGTCAATGTTTTGAATTCCGAAATTTAACGACTTTATTTTAAAAATATCATCAAATCGATGACCTCACGTGACTTATTTATTGTATGATTCAAATAGTACGCACATATTGTCTCGTGTTTATTCATTGAGAAATTAATGTTTATAGTGTTATTTATATATACAGTATATCTGGTATTAGATAGACTCAATAGCATCACATGTTTTTTTGGTTTTTGTGTATAGTAAGATATTGGAACTTTAAATTTAAATAAATTGAGAGTTTATGAGAAGGTTACACGATGTCAAATTGAACACAACCCATTAAAGGTAATCAAAATCATTCAGCCTTTTTCACCAAAAGAAGTAAATAAATACTGATTGACACTCTTTTTATTTTTTAAATGGTTAGTCATTGTTAAGATAATAATGATCAAGAAGACATAAGTTCGTGTTCCACTTTTTATTATAATTAATTGACAAAGAATTATTCTTCAAAAAACCTTAATTTAATAATATACTGTATATGCAAATGAGAAATTCATAAAGCTTCGCTGCAGGAGTAGTTTCAAATATGTCATATATATAACATATCATACAGATAAATAGATTATTTAATTGACGCCAAAAGATAATGAACACAAATTGCCAATAACTTTATTGTTGCTGATGATCAAAAGGATCTCGTTTCATTTTCACAATAAGTTCTGTATTAATCAATCGTATTCTAATTAATATTTTTTTAGTAATTTCAAAAGTCCGAATTAAAATTTTGTAATACCAGTCCAGTAAAGTAGTTTATCACGTCGGCCTATAAATTCGTAGATCTCTAGTTAATTATATTTATTATATTATTAAATGACAAAAATTTATATACTGTATTGTACATGGTAATAAAGTAAATAATTATAAATCTTTTAAATTATTAAAATAAAATAAAAATAAAAAATAAAAAACAGATATATTCAAGAAAATGAATTTCTAAACGCGTGATGATTAAATTTTTTTTTTACTTTACCTATAATATATTTATTTACTAAACAGATGTGCTACTCTAAAAATTGGAAATTTACCCTTTAAATCTGGTTCTTTCAATTTTCATTTATATTTTTATTTATTTTAATAATTTAAACCTTTCAACAACAGAGAACCCTGTATTTTTCCTTAATAGATAAATTCATCTATGCATGTGAGTCGGTTAGCGATTATTTAGGATCAACTTAAAGCAAAATCGGTCATTATTTATTATATACATGATTTCACCGGAACTATTCATTTCCAGTCGGTCGTCTGATCTTAATGAGCAAATTCATGCCGAATTTGACACGAGCATAACTTCGAAATAATATAATAGAGACGGATTATAACCAATAAGCATACGTTACTATCGTATGCTTTCTTTCTTCTGCACGCATTATTTCTTCTTAATTTTCCTTACATTTTCAAATATGATCTCTTGTCAAAGTAAGCAAAGGTAATAAATACATAGCTTCACCTAATATGTACTGTAGTGTCAAATACTTCAACAGCACATCCGGAAAATTTGCCGGTAACAGGAAACCAAACTATCGGCTACATAGAGAGAATTTATGACTAATATCAACATCATAGTTATTTTAGTAATGAAGAAAAGGAATTAAAAATTGAATAGATAATAGTAAGGTATTAAAAATTTTTATTTTATTTTAATAAAGCGACGACGATTATTATAAAAAATTCAGTAAGCTTAAAATGAATTTGGTACCTTTTTCAGATGTTTTCCAGAAATTCCAGCGGGCCAATTAACGTCATAATTTATTTCTAATGTAATGGACGCGATGTGAGTGACAAATAGCATTTTTTTAGACCACCCTAACATCATTTATATTCTGTCAAAAAGCTCGCGATAAATTTCTTTTAAAAATCAGTTTATACCCTGATTTGTTCACACTTTGAAAATTAAAATGATTTCTAAATTAAACTAGACAATATCATTACTTATGATTTAGCAATATGAACGAATTCCAAGCAATTTTCACCTTAAAACTAATAGGCCTTCATTCAAAATGAATGTGGTTGGTTAAAATTAAACCCGGAAACGACTTGAAACTGCGCCACATTTAGGCCACATTTCTTCATTTGATTTTTTCCAGGTTTAATACTAGGGAACAGAAACCGTTGGTTAGTTCGGATCCCCTATTTCGTTTTGAATAAATTTACAAAAAGAGATTTTTACAGTAACTCTGCTCTGATAAATAAAGTATCGACTCAAACGAGATTTGTATCACGCAATCCTAGACTATAATAGTCCTTCGCTACGCTTCGGACTAAATATATCTTATATAGCAATTTAAGCGATGTTAAATTAAATTAAAGAAGTGATATTGGTTTATAATTGATTTACTTTATCATCAAATCCCCTTTACATTCTCGTAACTTCACGCAAGTATTTTAATACTTGATAAATTCGGGCTTGAAATTAAAATACAGCCACCGCCTCATTCAATTTTCAATTTAATTGAACTTTAGTTCGTCCGCTTTTTCTTTTCTCTTCTTTTTTTTTGATTGATAAAAAGAATTACCCAAGAAATTTAAAATTCTCATCACGAATATCTTGTACTGCGGTGCATTTCTTAATGAACCGGTGAATCGGTAAATTTGAATTTTTGTTATATAACTAAGTTTACAAATTTTTATAAGAAAAACTGCAAAAGTTTCGATGGTGGCAATAAATTTTAATGGATGGCAAAGTTTTCGACGGGTTAAATCATTTGATATTAATTCAAATGTGATGTTTTGCATAGTCACAAAGAAAAATTTTTTGTGACGCGGTATATTATTTTATTAATATTGGAGATTTTATTTTTATAAGATAAATTAAATTTAAATTCGTATGTACATTTAATGTACTTTTCCTTTAATAAAGAATCATGTCAAATTATAAAATATTTCACAGCCTTAAATAAAATAAATAATAATAATAATAATAATGATTATGTAGAAATTTAATTTATAAAGTATATTATTAAAAAGCTTTAAAATCCATCTAATAAATAAATCTAAATCAGTAATCGTTACAAGACAAAACATTTATATAATCGAATAAGTTACCGTCAGGAATTTCCAATTCATCCTGTTCTTCTGAATGAAGATTTGAATTATTATATGATTCATTCTCACCATCTATAAAATAAAGAATTAGAATATAATTATATGATTATTAATTTAAAATGTTTCTACTTACCATCATTTTCAATATTATACTTCTTTATATGCGTTGCTTCGTTTTTATAATTATTTTGAAGATCTGTTAAGAACAAATTTCGAATAAGTAGCTTTACAATTTTTATAAATTTCTACATACCATAATTTGAATTTATTCGTAATTTTTCAGATATTTTGGATAATTTTTTACTAGTCTAATTTTTAAATAAAAAATTTTTAATGTAATTAATTTTTAATATATTAAATATTTTATTATTTAATTACCTTTAAAATGACTGATTTTTTTTGTTGAGGTTTTATTACTTGAATTAGTAAATTCATCCACTAAATATGAGAAATGGTTAATAAAATATTAATTAGTAACCTAAAATATCAATACTTACTATCATCAGGAATATTAAAGTCGTATGGTTTACTATGAAATGCTTTTATGATTAAGAAATAGAATAATTTTTATTAAACCTAGTCTGAAATAAAGAATTATTAATATTAAAACAGAAAAAAATTACCTTCTTGCTCTTCTATTTTATTAAATAAGAATAAAATTAAAGTTATATATTGTGATAAATCATAAAACTTAATTGTTAAAAATTTACCTTCCGTTGCATTCCTTTGCTCAGGAAAATTTTCAAATTTATAAACTTTACTTGAAAATAATTTGCTGCTTTTATAATAAATATTTAGGTTATTAACTTCTGTAGCTTCATTGGTTTTTTGTTGATATAAATTAATTTTCTTAAAGAATTTTTTAATAATACTTTTTTTTTCATCTGATTCATAATATAATTTATTCATTTCAAATATTTTAAGTTTAATTGCGTAAATATCGGGTCTTTGTGATGGATCAGCATTCCAACATTGTTCCATCAAGTTTTTATATTCTAAAGGAATACCCGACGTTATTTTTGGTCTCATTCCATTTACTATCTTAATTGCGAGGTCATAATCATTTTCATATTCATTAAATGGTGATTTCTCAAAGGAAATTTCCCACATAAGCATTGCAAGACTATAAACATCAGATGCTTTAGTATATCCTTTTCCAGCAATAACTTCAGGAGCTACATAAGGAAGGTTCCCATAGATGCATTTTAATGGCTTATCAGCAGGACCAGAAAATCCAAGATCACTAATATACCATGTATCAAGACTTTGTAAATATAATATGTTTCCAGAATGCAAATCCCTATGAATCGCATCTTCCCGATGAACTTTGTTAAGTGCATCAATGATATTAACATTAATCTTCATTTTTTCTTTCCATGTAAGTTGTTGATGACATTGTAGATATTGTCTTAAATCTGTGTCCATTTTATCTAAAACAAGAAAATATTCTTTACCAGATGGATCTTGAGTTAAACCATAACTATAAACAATATTATTCCATTTACTACTTAGAGTTAAATGAGATTCTGCCTATATGTAATATAAAATGGTTATACAGTATAATAATTTAACAATTATAAATAATGATTAAAATAATATACCTCTTCAAACCAACTTCTATTAGCACTTTCAACATTTTCTAACTTTTTAAGGATCACATCACGCATACCATTTCTTTTTAATTCTCTTTTTTTAACATCCCAATGATTATAATTTCCCTCAACCCATTCGGCCGTATAAATTTCAGAACACCCACCTTTAGTCAAATATTCAATATTCTGTAGATTATTGTATGGTATCCATTCAACCACTTTATATGAAGTAAAAGTTTCAATTTGACATTTCCGTATTAAATTATCAATATTGTCATTTCCTGACGTCCAATTTGAAAATTTTGCTTTTAAATGGTTTCGAATGCAATTTTCACAATATGTCGTTGCGAAACATTCTTGTTTGCAATGTTCACATGATCTTTTTCTTCCTACATTATGAATAACTTTATCTTTATCATTAATTTCAATTAATATTCTTATTGCTTCTGATTTTTCGTCTTTTGTAAGAGATTGATCAGCAAGAATGATTTTCCTAGATTCATGATTTTTGTCCAAATTATCAACATCATGTTCTGTTAAGTAATGAGATTTATTAAACGCGGCATAAATTAATTCATGACGAATAGTAACCATGATATATATATTTCAAATTTATACTATTGAAAATGAGTTTCATGGGAAAAGGGGCTAAAATGGTGTTTTGTTCCAGTGCATATTTTTCTATATTCGGTTGCTACAATCTTTTATGCTGTGGACTATGCATAAAAAATAATATGAAACAAACAATGATTACCTACATAAATTAAAGAAAAATGATCGTAGATTTAGCAATGTTAATTAATAATTAGAGATAAGATAAGATGATGAAGTGTATTCCTATCTATGATTGCTTAAAATTTGATTACCGAATAGAGCTAACCGTCTGGTTATAAAATATAAAATACTATTAAAAAAATTCGCTTTATACAAAATTAAGATTAAGAAAGTTGATTATACTGTTACTGAAATATTATCCGGTTCATCTTAAGAATAAAAATCTGGATCATTTATACTTTTTTATACTTTTTTTTTTATTCTGATTATTATGAATCAATTTAATATTAAATATAAAGTTTCTTTAAAATCAATTAACTTTTTTTTCACCTATATTCTTATGTAGAGGAAAAAAATATTAAATCATTTCACAGTCATCAAAATAAATTTTAAAAATTTTAATTTCAAACTTATTCAAAAAATTCATTAGAAAAAAGACGCTCTGAAACAATAATAATAATGTGTAGTTTTAACTATAATATTTCTCCAATTTGAAATATATTATTTGTAAATTCTAGTTATTATTAATATAAATGTAAAATATAGGCGAAAATTTTGTTAGCTATTTAATGGATTATTTTATTTTATTTATATAATAGAAATTGACTACATATCACTGGCAGTGTTGTACATTTTTATGTCCAAAGCATTTTAAGATGTCCCGTGATAACACTGACCACTGGTGTTTACCACTGGAGTCACGTGTTTATATCTGTTTCATTTTTACTATGTATTCTAAGGACTTGAACTTTTTTCACCAATAAAAATATTTGTTTCACCTCCATAAATTTTACTATTGGTTGATTTAACACCGGTGATAAATAGCAAACTCCTAAATAATAAATAAATTAATTATTAAAGGTTATGCAAATAATTTTTTTTATAAAGTTTTTAGAAATATATTTTAAAAAATTTATAAAATTTATTCTAAATTCATAAAAATTAATTAAAAATGTCAACAGAATCTATTTGTAATTTTAATTTATAATTGCAAAGTAATAATTAAAATAAATTAAATTGTAATAACATTAATAGAAATCTATTTATTAGTATTTTATAATTATTGAAATTGATGTTGATTATGTAATGGTAATCAATTTTTTTAAGTTAATCACGTTTGTTCAATTTTATATAATAAAACTTAATTTTTAAATAAGCTACTATAATTTTTTTTTATATTTAATAAATATATACTTTATTTATAATATATGTTATTTACAAGAAGTTTTATTAAATATATTTATATATATATTTAAATTAAAATTTTGAAATCATAACTTTTTTTAAGGAATCACAGAAATCATAAAAACATGAAAAAAAAATAAAATCACAGTTGAATTAACATAATAAAAGTTATTCTTTGGCTTTATGAAAAGTAATAATATAAGTAAAGATTTAAAATGAAGTGTATATATTTATATTATATTAGGTTTTCTTTAAATAAAAAAAAAACCAAGTTATTAAAAATTAGCATTCCTAATATTATATGAATAATCAAATATTTTCAAAGATTTGTTATAATTATATTGAAAGAACAAGTGGATATAAAAAAATTTTTTAATAGATCTAATATGAAAGTAATATAAGTAATATATTTTAATTTATTAATTATTATATTATATTATATAAAATATTTATTAAACCTGAATTTTTTTTTAGATTTTAAATGAAATAATAAAAGAGCATTCTGATTATTATTTAGATGAGATTATTAGAGAAATAATTAAGAGGATTAATAAAGGTTATATTTCTAAAAATAAAAATATAAATATAAATAAATTATTATTTATAATTATAAAATATTGTGTAAACTAATATTATGTAAATATCATCATAAAATATTCTGTAAAATGAAATCTGATAGTCTAATTATTTATATATTTGATAAGTAGTTTCCTATTTTTCTGCACTATTTTTATTTTCTTTATTAATAGTTAATTTAAATGAGATTTTCATGTTTTTATCTTTAGATTCTTTAATTTCAGAATTATTTACTTTATCTTTCACATCTAATTCTATATTATTTTTAATTTTAATACCAAAATTTTATCTTTTTTTTATTATTCATCAAATTTTCTCAAATTCTACTTTATTAATTTCTTCTACTTTATCTATTTCATCATTAATGTAATTCTCATTATTATCCTCATTTTTATCAATATTATTATTATCATTATTTATTTATTTTTCTAAATAAAAAATTAGATTTAGCTTAATCTTAATATTTAATTTGAATTAATATTAAAGTTTTAAGTTTGATAGATTTACAAAAATGGTCTTTATTATTTAAGATTTTTTTCAATTTACATAAACTATATTTAAATTTTAAGAAAAATACATTTTATATAAATAAATTCAATTAGTTTAGACAGTTGTAACTTATTATAAATCTTATATTTTATATTTAAATCATATATAGTGAACTCTTGATATAATGAATTCTAGGATCTGGATATCAACTTTGTTTAGAGCTCCTAATGAGTCGAGTCGAGTCGAGTTTTAAAGATAACTCGATTCAACTTAAAAAATTTGAGTCGAGTTGAGTCAAAAAATTTTAAAACTCTAACCCGACTTGACTCGAGTTATACTTAATTTGACTCGACTCAACTCAAGCCAAATAAAAACTCCCAAAATATATTTGCTGATTATATAAATAATAAAATAATAAAATTATATTAATGTTTCAGAGGCTATTATCTAATGATCTACTAATCAGAATTTCATGAAATCTGACTATCGTGTTCGCCGAGATGCGTTCATCAAAATAATATATGTTGCATTTCTAATGGATCACTGAACGCAGAGATATTCAAGAAAATGTATTGAAAAATTAATTTTTGGCTTCGAAGGCCATTAGCTCAAGATCTACCGATCAGAATTTTGTGAAATCTGTACTATCGTGTTTGCCGAGATGTGTTCATCAAAATGATATGTGTTGCATTCTAACAGATCACTTTTTTTTTTTAAGATGATTTCAGTTTAAGTGATCGATTGTGCTCCAAACTTTTCGAAACTGAGTAGGTAGGTGTCCCTGTAGGGTCATAGCGTCGAATCACCCTTAAGTGTTAACCTTATTTTTCAGAGGCCCCTGCCACCGAAATACATCCCCTAGGTTGTGCTATCTAAGGTATGACATCCTAAACCCCAACATCCCCTAAATGCGGAAAAAGGTATTTTAACAACCCTGGTACTGTTAAATATGGATAGAGGGTACATTGCAATCATAGCAAACGTCATTACTATCTTATCAACGGTCTAGTGAACTATAACCAAGATCCAATTACTTGGTTTGGTTTTATCACTACTATATAGAAAGCCGCAGGGTTCATGGGATAGTACCACAAGATTTACCCAAACGGAGATCTCCAGTCATACATATAGACTACATCAATCAGGTGACTTTAATATCCAGAACGTCAAACAACTCAGGAATTAAACCTGACTTCTAACCCTAGTAACAGCTCGATTTGGGCCAGTACTGCAGCGTGCAATGCAGTCTAATTATTACTGGTTTATTACTCAATCTACTAATATTTGGTCAATCACTTCCTTATTTTATACATGTAATCACTTCGACAGCAACCATGTACAGAAATATAGGACCCCTGCCATGGTAGACGTAAGACTGTATCTATTACAAACCAATCAGCGAAGGCCAAGTTTCTATCGATCCTTGGCTTCATTTGCATCTACTTGTTCTAATACGTGCAGTATTTAAGCATGATTAACGTTAATCGATGGATCAATTAACCAAATTTGTACGCATATTAGTTTATGTGCCTATCATTTCAGTTACAAAGAAATTCCTTATGAAAAATCATACAGTTTTATGTATCGACTAATACCTAAACTGATGGCCTATCACTGTATAATGAAACTTTAGCTTATAGGAGATTCGCAGTTTAACCACTGAGCCAGGGCTGCCACACCCTTTTTTTAACGGATCACTTGATACTGAGATATTCAAGAAAACATGTTAAAAATATTTAATTAAAGCTTCATAACCGATATATAGGCCCTTTGCAATTGAAAGGAGGAAAACAGCTGAAAAATTAAAAA